AGATTTTTATTCCTACTAGATGGATACTATATAATTAAATGTAGAGTTGTTTAAATGAATTTGGACTTGTCTTCAATTTCTTTATTATTCAACAAAGCCGGGCCTGTCGTTTTCAAGAATTTTATGCTGCCACTAATGTAATGTTACACCGTTTCCAGCCTTAGGCATGCATTTCATTGATTTGAATGTCATTCCCATTCAATTATTAATCAATAAAGAGGCTATAGGAGAAATGAATAATAATAGGTAAGAGCATAGCATATTGGACTATACGAAGAGATATAGCGTGATTGAAAAATATGCATTTCACAAGAGACACGATCGCAATATATTTTATAATTTAGAGATCCGAAGATAAATTAGACCCTGTTTGACATCCATTTTTATCAAAATGTATTTTTCTCTCTTCTTTTCAACCACACATTCTTTATTAAAATAATATTACACGTAAATCAAAAACTTTTTCTTATTTTTCAACCACACATTTCCCATCAATTTACTATTCAAAAATGCATTTTCACATAAAAATTCCTACCAAACACCCTCTAATAAAATGGTCACTCTTCCTTTCATTAGGACACATCACAATATATGTTAGAAACTTGAGGTGTTGACCAAATTAATGACCTCACATGGTTCTAAATGATTTGTTTTTATTAAATCAAATTGGTCTCCCTTGATTCTAAATGATTTTTCTTTTTCTTTTTTGGAATCTTTCGGTATAGATGATGGGATGGATTGGGTAGAGTAACAAAGAAAAACTTGTACACCTATATTTAATTATTTATTGAGCTAGACTTGACTTGTATTCTATTATTTAATAATTCATTATTTTATTTCGTCCTAAGAAATTTAAATTATTGGAAAAGTCCAATGCAATTACTTCTAGGAGATAGGGCTTCACCAACAGAAGATTCCCCTCGCAAATTCCGGAGGTGAAACCATCTGATGCTTTTCCGACAGTTGCCAAAAGGTGAAGCTTCGAATTTTTTTACTTAATCCTTTACCGATTACTCACAATAGGGGAGTGGGGACCACATTTTGGAATTTCTTTTATTCAAGTGGGTCTGACGTGCATGTGAGTGGTGGTAAACAATTCGGTACACCTTTGAGTGTATAAATAGAATTATTTTTGATCGTATAGCTAGGTCAGCTTTTCAGAAAAGCTACTTGTACAATGTGAGCTTACAATGTGATGTGGCAAGGAAAGACAAATTGACCAAAACAAGTTCAGAATAGCTATAGGAACTACAATAATTTACTATAGGAACTAAAAGTAGCGGGAACATTTGGGCATTTTTCTCATACACGAGTTCAGACGTGGATATGCACCAATAGCTTTGAAAATTTCTCCTCCACATTGTACGCCGTCGTCAGAGACGATCCTTTCCCTCGACTGCCTAACCATCCGGCTTGGCTCTACCTTTAGATTGTTCCCTTCTTGTTCACAAAGACAGTGTACACAAAAAACACCCAAAATTTCTTGCCCACATTCTATGGCACAGGTAGAGACTCACCTTCCCAACACCGTCGCACCCACCCGGCTTGAGCCCTCCATCTACAGGTACATGCCAACATTTTTCCCAACAATAAAGCAAATTTATCGGACAAGCAAGCAGTTGCTATTGACGTTTGGAGACTGCACTGTAGAAATTCGGGTTGAGCTCAACATTGTATCTCTCCTTCAAGTCCAAAGAGCTCGACCACTGATGCGTACAACCTCAAAAACTAGTTCTATATCATAGATAAGAAAAAATATAGATTATGTGAAAAGCTACTTGTCACTAAGTTTGATGTTATCACTTGATAATGTTAAATCCTTAATTTTAACACTTGTTCCTGCTAGTGTTGATATGTTCCAATGTGTTATTATATTGACATCAATTTATTGGCTACTCCGATCAAATATTTTTATTCACCTATATGATTGTGATGCATCAGTGTAAGATTGTGGAGAGGTTAATGTTTTTTGAACGAGGACATTTAATTTTGATGCAGGAGAAAAAATTATGGAAGCAGTAGAAGATGAGTTAAGATTGGAATCCGAAAATGCGAATTTGGAAGATAATATAAGCTTATGTGTGGATGAAACTAGAGGAGAAGATGGTGTGATTGTGCCCGAGGTGGGTATGAAGTTCAAGGACGAAGATGAAGTTTTCGATTTCTACAACAAATATGCTTACAAGGTTGGTTTCCTAGTCAGGAAAAGGAATTCGAAGAAAGATGACGATGGAGTTCTACAGTATGTAACATTGACATGTAGTCGTGAAGGACGACGAAACAGTTCTACAAGCGGTTCTTTGAAGCCACAACCAACAATTTAGATAGGTTGTAAAGTAAGGATCTCTGCAGCTTTTGATTATCATGGTTTCTGGGTAATTAGAAAACTAGACCTCGACCACAATCATAAGACGAGTCATTCGAAGTCGAGGTTGTTTCGATGCAACTGAGAAATAAGCGCACATGTGAAACGAAAGATTGAAGTAAATGACATGGCAGGAATTTCGTTGCACAAGAATTTCAACTCTGCAGTTGTTGAAGCAGGTGGTTTTAGAATTTGACTTGTGTGGAAAATGATTATAGGAATATATTGAAAAAGTGAGGCGATTAAAACTTGGGGAGGGAGATGCCGTAGTAATACAATCTTACTTTTCAAAAATGCAAGCACGTGCTCGAGATTTTTCTTCAGTAATGATTTAGACTAAGAATCGCGGCTGAAAAATATATTTTGGATAGACAATAGGTGTCAAGCATATAAAGAATCTGATGACGTTGTCACGTTTGATACAACATACCTCACTACCTATTTGTTGGTGTGAATCACCATGGTCAATTAACACTACTTGACTATGGTTTGTTATCAAATGAGAACATAGATACCTTTATATGGATATTTAGGATGTATCTTAAGTGCATGCACAGTCGAGCTCCGTATGGAATAATAATCCATCAAGATAGGGCCATGAAAAACACAATACAAATAATTTTTCCTAATACGAAGCATAGATGGTGTTTATGGCACATTAAATTTATCCTAAATTTTGGCTGAAAATCCACATTTTATTTCTCAATAGAAAAATGAGATATTTTTGAGCATTGTGAATTTTCAGATACTATACAATCAATCGAAGGGATGGATCAAATCCAATCAAAAAAAGGAGGTTTCTTTTAGGAAAAGGATTAAGAAAAATAGGAAAAAGAAGTAACCAGAAAAGTTTGGTTACCATGTAGATAAGGGTTCGATATTTTTTTATACACATGTTGGCGTATGATTCGCAGACTGTTGAGAATTTGAAGCTGGTTGAAAAACAATGATAGAGAAATATGAGCTGTAAGATAATGAATGGTTGTCGGATATTTACGACAATAGAGGTCAATTCCTTACTTTTTGAAAACAACATTTTGGGCTGAAATGTCGACGACACGACGATTTGAGAGTATGAATGCCTTTTTCGATGGATATGTGCATTCGAAAACATCGCTAAAGCAATTCGTGGAGCAGTATTGTTAGGTCTAAATGTGTTATTGGCAATTTTGTGAACAAAATGAGTTTAATCGTATGTTTGTAAAAGTCAGTGACTCAATTGAACATTCTTGTAAAAGTCAAGGACTTGAGGTGCAATTTTGTATAGATGAGGTAAATTAGTGTTTGAGTCGTTAAAGGAGTCCAAGATATCCAAGAAGATCACATAAGATCATCGGAATGCAATTGGAAGTCTAAAAGATATCAAAGAGCCGCACAAATTATGTTTCGGATTTTCAGTCTTCACTTGGAACACATTTTACACATAGAAACAGTTGGAATTTGGACAAGGCTATTTCTAGAAGAATTGTAGCCTTTTGAGTTAGCTATTCAAAAAAACTTGAACCACCTCAATCAGATATCAGGAGTGAAACTTATGATAAAAATACTAACGACTACTTAGCAGTCACTCGACTTTCGCTCGAGCGATAATAACAGAATGGGTCTCGCTAGAGTTTCGCCCCACCCTAGCTCGAGCGACCGTTCTACGTGAAAAAAACCCTAGTATGCGTTTTTAAGTGTTTTACTCGGCCCATACTACCAAAACACCTTTAGATATAAATACCTAAGCCCTAACACGAATTTTGCGTGGTTGCTCATTGTGCCTCTCTTGAAAAACATCTTCTACTCCATTCTTGAAGAGATCCAAGGCAAATCAATTGAAGATCCAAGATAATATTCTTCTTCTACATCTTCTTCAAGAGATCCAAGACAATATTGATTGAAGATTTTATCTATGCAATTCTTGTGATCCGACAACCATTTCTTGGGAAAACATCAAACATTCTTGAAGACAAACACCTGGTTTCCTCAACTGATTGAAGGAAGGAACTCTCTCTTTGGTGGATTGAGAGAGTGGTGCAAGGTGCAGTTACAAGCACAAGAACAGGAGGTTCTTGGCGTTCCACTTGTGAGGATATTCAGTACAAGATCAGAAGACTGTAGGAGACAGCAGATTGGGCTGCAGGAGGTGGACTTAGGAGTCTAGCAGGAGTCTAGAGAGTCTACGCAGTAGATCGTCAGGCTGTGACAGTGGATCTTGATGGGTTCTTTGATTGGCGAATCATTGTAATCTCTGAAGTATCGTTAGTGGAGGTAACTGGCTTGTGCCCGGAGTTTTTCCCGTGTTGGGTTTCTCCGTCAACAATTCTTGTGTTGATTTTGTTTTTACTACTTTCAGTTATTTAGAATAATATGCGGTAATTCAACATAGGATCAAATTGGATTGTATGTCTAATCATCTAGATAACTAACAAAAGTGACTTGTTGCTTTAGTTAGATTAATTCCGCACGTAAGATCGAATTGGTAATTGGAACGTACACTTGGTAAATGCTTAAAATTTGAATTTGACATTGTATAGCGTTCCCGTGAACTTTCTAAGTGTAGTAGCGCATTCCTAGAACTTTCAAGTATGAACACGCACTTCAGAACAAGGTTTAGAAGGAGTTCCAAGTTGATTTCAAGTCATTCGCTCAAATGGTTCTGTGCGCAACATCCTATGAAATTGAGAAGCAATTTCAGGCAGTATACACAATTTCAAAATTCAGGAAAGTGCAAGCTAAGTTCATGGGAAAGGTGTATTGTGACATTATATCTTCTATGAATGGTTGTTCGGAGACGACGTACGAGGTACGCGACGATGTGCTATACGGCGATCGATGGAAGAGAAAAACATTTGTAGTCTTATTTGAGAGAGAGAACCATGAAATTGTATGCAGCTATCACTTGTTTGAGTTTTAGAGAATTATTTGCAAGTATGCGATCGCAACACTCATTCGCAATGACGTTACTGTACTCTTGGATACTTAGATACTACGAAGATGGAGGAAAGATGTTAGTAGAGCACACACCAAAGTCACTGTTAACTACATTGGGCTGGTAAGCACTCCTGGACAGTTGCGGTATGATAGAATATGTCAGGCATACACTACCACAGCTGACCTAGTCGCGAAAGACGAAGCCCGGACCCATACGATAATGGAATGGATTGGAGTTCAACAGAAAGAACTTATGAGTTCAAGGTCGAGCATCAAAAGCAATGTCCAATCGCAACGTACTGTTTAAGTATCCTCGAATTTCACATGTTCACAATAAAATGCAAGTTGTTCCATATTGGACCCTAAAGTAGTGAACAAGAAGGGTACGCCTAAGAAACTTCGCAGAAAGAGTCTGTTGGAGTCGACTTCAAAGAAACCAAAGGTAAGTTGACGTGTTATGTTCCAAATGAAACGGATTCCTAACATTACATCTCATTCATTCGACTGTCAATGCAGGCTCCATTGACATCATCAAAGGGGAAAATACCAACTGCAAGGTGTACTTGTCCACCAGATGGTGCATCGTCCGTTCAGGCACATAAAGAACAACAATCTTCTACGCCCATACCGTTCTCCTATTCGCATATATTGTTGATTAATAATTTTAAATTGTCCTATTCATATGTTTAAAGTTTAATTTATGCTTTCCTATGATGTTGTAGGGTGACCATGAAAACCAAGTATTTGCACAACAATTCCCCGGCTTCTACATCGATGCATCCATCGTCAACCCATCCAATATTCAATTCTCAAGGTAAGATTTTATATTAAATCACATTCATTTTTTTCGTGGGTAATTTGAGTGCACCGTTTGATGTCGTCTTTTACTGTAGATCATGCACATCCGTCCTACTATCCTCATTTATCACGTCACGGTGGCAACGAGTTTTGATCCATAATACATTGACGAAGCGTCTTTTGACAACATTGGTATTGTTATGTATATGTCATACTTTTTACATCGTATCTATTGGTATGCATTGAGGAAGCGTCATGGTGGCAAGTAGTTTGGCAACATTATGTATATGTCATACTCTTGATAAGTTATGCATTGGTATTGTTTTGTATAATGCTATGTGTTGGTGTTCTTTTGTTGTCTTGAGGGTGCAAGGGTTAAATACTATCGTTGGCTTAGTTGCAGCCCTATTCCAAGTAATGCTTCTGGCTTATTTGAATTAACGCAAGCTCAAATGGGGAAATCCTATGTTGATCACGTGATTTCTCAGAGTTGTATTAAATGATTAACAATCGGCCTTATTTCATCCGTTTAAGTTTGAATGGGTTCTTTATTTTTTAATATATTCTTATTCGGGTCTTGATTGGGTTGTTAGATCTTGATGTACCTTTTGGTTTTTATTATGGAAGGATTTGAAATTTTGAATTATGCATTTGAATTTGTGATTTCTTGACTTTATGTTAACTGTGAATTTTTTTTTTTTCAATTTGTTAATTTATTTCTTTGATTCCTTTTGTGATAGTTGTTTCTCGTGAGGAAATGATAGTTTCCTTCTATCTTTAGTTGCCCATGGATGTAATTTGGTTACATTTAATAAGTGATTTTCCATTTCAATGATTGATTTGTTGTGGCCTTTGTTTTCCAATGTTTTCAATTAATATACAAAATTACCTTTTATACTTTGGAATTGTTGATCGTTTTGAGGTTTTTCCATGTTGAGTTGTGTATTGTTGCCGACTTATTTAATTTGATTACATTTATTCAGTGATTGTTTATTTGATGATCAATTCGTTTAGGTTTTCTTTTCTTTTTTTCCATTTTTTTTGGCAATGTTTTTGGCTGGTTTTTGAGATATTTCACATGTTTTTTGTAGATTTAATTTTGTTGCATTTTCTTGGTGATTGTTCATTTTGATTATCAATTCAAATGGGGAAAGTCCTATGTTAATGCAAGCTCAAATCAGTGATATTCTAGGTCGTGTGATTCGGCTGAAGCAATTTTAGACAACTAATTCTCTACGAATATACAAATTAGTCTACTTACCGCCACGTTGCCGGTTATTTCAAGACAATGTCATGATAAATCTACTACATTGATAAGTTGATAAGTTGTACCTTACTGACATAGACGACATATTGTCATGATAAATCTACAACATTGATTTTCCTTACACTTAAACAACAGATTTGAGATAACTAAGCAAAAATCCACCACTAATCAAGCTTGCCCCTTGCCTTTGGTGTTCCATTCGGCGCTTGATTTTCCCGTACGGATTGTCACGTTCACAGAAATGTGGAGTTCATGTTCATTGTTAAGCCGAACTTGAGACTGAAATATGCAGGACATATCGTCAACTGATTTGACCGGATCGGGCTTAGGCAACACACACCAATGTTCTTGGCTTCGTCACTTGATTCCCCTTCTTTGCACCACTCCCAAAAATCACATTTCTGATTGCAACATTTGAAGAATTTACCTTTGTTAGCTGTAGCCCGTTTTACCTCGAAAAACTTTTGAAAACCTTGGTTACATGTTGGGCATCGAACTTTTGTCGAGCATTCGGCAAAGAAGTAGGCCTTACTCTTGCAGCAGTGACATACTCCAAAGTTCTTTCCTGGCATTCTGATATAGGATTCAGACATCAACAACAAAATGTTAAATGACAAATGTGAAGTATGACCACTCAGGGCATATCCAACCATTGCACTATTGCACCAAATTGCACCAAAATTTGGTGCAAACTTCCTCCAACCATTACACCATTGCACCAAATTTTGGTGCAAAAAATGGAGTAATGAATAGTGTTGCACCAAATTCATGTTGCACCATTTTGCACCAAATGGTGCAATGTCTATTTTGCCATTATGTTTCATTTTTCAAAGATAATTGTTAAGGGTATTTGTGTCATTTTCGTTCTATAATAATAATAATAATAATAATAATAATAATAATAATAATAATGATTATGATAATGATAATAATAATAATTACTTAATTAATTACACTATTAATTATATTATTAAAGTTTATTATTTTTAATAATATAATCAATAATAATTAACGTAATTGTTAATTTAACATAAAGTTTACATTTAAAGTTTAATTTAACGTAAAGTTTCTATTATTAAACTTTATTTTTTTTTAATTTAACGTAATTGTTTATCATAAATTAATAATATAATCAAATATTTTTGTGAATTTAACATAATATATAAGACATGTGATAATTTAGTAATCAATATATTTGTTAATTTAATGAAGTTATGATTTAGTAATTTATATAGTTATAAAATAAATAAATAAATAAATAATATTTTAAAATAAATACACCACATACAACCTTAATGCAACTTTTTGACAAGGATATAGAGCAGCACCTGGGGGTGTTTTAGTTTGCTTGATATAAAGCTAATCTTTTACTGAGCTTCTTGTAATTGAGAAGGATATAGAACAGCACCTGGGGTGTTTTAGTTTGCTTAGACTCTATGTTGGATGGACCTTCAATTTAGTTTCAAATTTCACAACTCCATCGTATTATGTAACATGTTATCCCCCCGCCCCCCCAAACTAACGGGTATTGCCTATTTGGAAGCCTAACAGTAATATTATTACGGAATCGAATTAGAGATCCCAGTTAGGAAAATGCTACAATTTATATGTGCAAGTATTATCCTCTACAATGGAACGTGTTTAGGTAAAGTTGATCATCTTGGAATTGTTCCAAAGCACAAAAGTTTATGGTATTAAATTTCTCAATTGGGTCTTTGACTTCAATTTCGTTTAAAAAATCCCAAAAAATCCTAGTAGTTCAAGAAAATTTTGGTTGGGTTTACCAGTCCAATTTTGTGCAAATATACCAAAAAAATCCCAAAAAATCTAGATTAAATTCCTCAATTGGGTCATTGACTTCAATCTAGTTTCAAAAATCTTAAAAAATACCAAAACTTCAAGAAAATTTCGGTTGGGTTCAGCACTCCAGTTTTATGCAAAACTACCAAAAATGTCTAAGCGTTGAAGATTTTTAGGATTATCAACCGACCAGATTTTATTAAAGAAGAACAATATACCCCCAATGCTTGTGTGTAGAGAAAAAAAAAAGCCCTAGGATTCAATACTGCTACTAGATTTTACGTACATCAAATGGCATACACCTTAAAGTTATTTAAACAACGTACCTTACTGTCAAGCCGAATGTGTTGAAATTTGGTGGAATTTATATTGTAGATCTGAGGAAAGTCCCAGTCGACGAGTTCGCGGTGTGGTTGTAGGCAGGAGACGGTGACAAATTTGTCAATCTCCGATAGTGTTTCGAAAATCACGTTTCGAATGGCTTCAACCATCTTCAAATTTGGGGAGAAATTGGAGAGAGTGTTTTCCTTTTCCTTTAACGTTTTGCTTTTGGTAGAAAATTGGAGAGAGGGAGAAATAACATGCTCTCACCGTTTCTCCGTATTTAACTTTTGAATTCTGTCTTTTGTCATTTTTTCCCCTTTTTTGCCCTTGCTACGTCACATTGTAAGCCAACCTTGTAAGCCCATATTGTACAAGTAGTAGCACTGTTTAGCTTTAGAGAGAGTCCAACTTCCAACTTTAAAAATATGTTGGGTGCTATGAAAAAGAGAAAAAAAGAATGAAAGTCAATGTTTTATTAAAAACAAAAGTCCTATATTTATAGATAAGAATTAGGGATACAACGATAATAATTTCAGGACAATAGAGATACAATTGTCATTCACTATTAAACTTACCAATTACAACATTGGGTACATTGTGTTAAAAAAATAAATTTCGTATTAATTAAATATTGAATTATAGATTAATATATAAGAATTTGAACTACTCCTCTTAATAATAAGACTGGCCTTTAAAGATAAACCACAAATTTAAGACATGGGACTTGTGAACATGATTGCAAAATAATAAAAATACGTGAAATTAATGTTAGTATATTTCATTTCATTCTGTCTAATAATAGTCTTGTTTATTGGCTTGAGTGCTTGACTTAATGGAAAGTGGGATAACTGCCTTGTTGCCTTACCATGTGGTTTGTAGATAGGCTAATTTGAAACACGGCTTTTTAAATCTTAACACTTGCACCTAGTAAAAGCCTATCGATTGATATAATTATATTTGACTCCGATGTTTAGTTTGTTCGATTTCTAACCAAAAAATAATAAAGTAACTAGGTTTGATTTACTAAGAAATTTGGGCATAAGATATATCGGCACAAAATAGAATTTTGGTAGGAAGAGGTGATGTTATTTTTAAAGTTTAATATTTAAAAATATTGAACTGTCAAAAATATATATCCCCCGTTTGGTAGCAATTTTTCATTCAAAAAAATTGATTTTATGACGGTTATTTTACAATTTCAGCCTTCATTTTTTACTTCTTTATTTACAGGTGGAACTCACTTTTCTCTCTATTACTAAAAAAAGATCAATTTTCATAATCACTACTGAACATACCCATGATTCCCTCTTAAACCCTTACATTTATACAAAATATAGATTGAAAGCCTAATCTCGTACTACAAAAAATAATAACATGAAATGCAAAATCAGAAGCAAGTAAAAGATACAAAATTTAGATTATTTTAAAATGAGAGCTCTGTACACAAGTAGTTCTACGGTATAATTATAACGAAGAAGGAGATTGTTGTATGTTTTTAACATGAACTCACATCTCTCTGTTTATTTCTATACTGGAAGCGATTTATCTTAATATCCTTAGCATAAAAAGAAAATATTAGGAAGACCTAACTATCCAATTTTGTAACATTAAAATTTCAGAGTCAAATTAAGCTCAATAAATTTTACAATAGATGGATGATATTGACACATATACAGTTGATGAGAGGGCAGAGGAATTCATCAACAAATTCAGAGAAGAAATGAAGCTTCAAAGAGAGCAATATTAATCAATTCTTGAATTCGAGGAGATGCTCGCCCGGAGTGTTAAGAGAAGTACTCTTGATTGCTGAAAAAATTTGAGTTTTGTTCTTTGTTTTCGTTCTTTTCTTTTTTGTTTCCCAAATTTTTGAATGGGAAATTCTTTTATCAATTCTTTCTACATTTTTTGTTCTTAGCATATGTAGCCCCCATTTAGTCATCTAAAAAATCGAATTAAAAGTTAAATCAAAATCAATAATTAATTTTAACCACACTTTCCATCAACTTTTATAGAAATCGCGTACTAAAATTATAATCTCCATCTAAATCAATTTTTGGATAATGTATAGAAAGGAAAAGGGTTTGTGAAGTGAAATTGTTTGCGCAATTTTTAAAGGGAAAATTGCAGCAGAGGCCCCAAAACTTTTTAACATTTGCAACTTTTCCCAAACTTTTAATTTGTTACAATCGTTACTCCTAACCTTTCGAAACGTTGTAGCGGAGGCCCTTTTGGACGGTTTTCATCCAAATGTTTGTTAGTTGACTGAGAAATTTGATTTTGACTATATTTATAATATATAAAGATAAGTTAGAAATTAAATTAGAAATAAATAAGAAAATAAAAAAACCAATCATCTTCTTACTCTCATTCCACCCCCAATCCCACCCCCACCCAAAATCAGTTACCGACCACCGCCACCTCTACCCCGCAAACAGGTAAGACGAAGAAATCAAAATGCAACCCATAGATCTATGGTTCGAATTGAAACAGGTAATCTGTAATTCGATGACCCAGACAGAAGATTATAATTCAAATCAAGTGAATTGAAGCACCACCAACTTGTAAGCACAATTACGTGTACTACCACCACTTGATGTATAAAACACTCGCCAACACACAATTTTTGAAAATTCATAAAAAGAACCCCAAAAAATCTTCCCGTATTTTGCTTCTATCATCTACATATTCCTCCTTATGGGAAAAAAAGGAATTGAAGCAATAATGGGTCCGATTATGTTGACTCAGTTGGCGACAAATTTGAGCGTTTTGGCAGGGGCGGTTCTGGTGAAGTCTGTGATGGAGAATAATCCATTGGGCAGGTCCGGGTCGACTGCCCAGATGTTCCAGTTGTAATTCTATGATGGAGATCTGTGAGTTACATTTTGATTTCTTTGTTTTCATATTTATGTGGATTACACTATGATTTGGGTTTTTATAGTTGGGGATGGAGGTGGAGGTGGAGGTGGAGATAAAGGTGGCCGTGGCTGATTTTGGGTGGGGGTGGGGGTCGAGTGAGAGGAAGAAGATGATTGGTTTTTTAATTTTTTTTATTTCTAATTTAATTTTTAGCTTATTTTAATATATAATAAATGAAAAGTTACTATTTTATTCTTTTAAAAATATTAAAAATATGGTCAACGTCAAATTTCTTAGTTAACTTGTAGACATTTGGATGAAAATCGTCTAAAAGGGCCTCCGCTGCAACGTTTCGAAAGGTTTAGGTGACGGTTGCAATAAATTAAAGATTTGGGGAAAGTTTACAAATATTTAAAAGGTTTGGGGCCTCTGCTACAATTTTCCCATTTTTAAATTGTACTTGTTAATAGGACTCACGTATTTTTAGCTTGTATATCATATGTCATGTATTTGTATTTCGATTTTTTACGTCTCATATTTCTTAATTATGTTGCTATAATATCTTGGATGAACGAATAGATTCTACAGAACACATCAAATTGGAAAAAAATCATGCTTTAAAGTTTTCAGAATAACTTTTTTTTTTTTTTTTCAGAAATCAAATATTTTTATTTTGAATATTTTTAAATATATTTTTAGTATATATTTTTATTCTTTTCCCAAAGCCCGTTAATTGTGCTAGTTATTATTTGATTTTATCTTTTAAAATTAGAATTATAGAAATGTATGGATTCAATTTCCCTTATTTGAGGGTGTTTGGGAGCCATTTTTATGTAAAAATATATTTTGAAATAGTAAATTACTGGAAAATGTGTGGTTGAAAAATAAGGAAATTTTTTTGATTTACGTGTAATATTATTTTAATGAAAAATGTGTGGTTGAAAAAAAGATAAAGAAAAATGTATTTTGAAAAAAATGGGTACCAAAAAAGTTTCGAGACCTAACACAATTTCCCAACATCTACCCTAACACTATACCATCATTGCCATATGCCGATGCCGCAACCTACTCAGTTTTAATTAAATTAACAAAAATTCGTTACATGTAAAACAATCATGTGTTATTCTTAAGATAAAAAAAAGGTTAAACCCTAACCTTAAGGGTCCCCCACCACCCCTGTCCTGGAGTATCGTGAGGGAGGTAAATCGCAGGTTATGCCTCCAAGGGTACAGGGTGAAAGGCTGCTTGTACACTTGCACTTACCCAAGAGTCAAATCCATATTTCAGGATTCGAACTCTTGACGCAGCAGCCTCAAGTAAAGCTGAATTTCTCCACCCTCCCTTTTTACCACTTGGAGATGTACCCTGGGGGCATGTGTTATTCTTAAGATAGCACACATGTTACTTTGTTACTCTAGTTTCAAACCAAACACTATCTTCCATTATCAACCGTAACACCATCTCGGCATCTCCCGTATAACAATTAAATTGCACCATCATGACAACCTTAAAATATGCAATCCCTATGGTTGTCGTGGTCCTTGCAATGCAAATGTAAGGAGAAACTGAGAATCGAGAGCAGTCAATCTAGCATTTAGAAATAATGTTTCAAAAGCTAACACTATTTTTGAGCTAATATCAGACATAAAATTACTTGATTCATTGCAAAATTTAAATAATATTTTATAAAATTCCGTAAGTGAAATTTTTCGATATAGTTATGAAAATTTAGATCTAGATCGTGAGAGCGACAATGAATTGGAAAGGAGGAGCCGCTCCATAAGAAGAAGAAGATACGACAACAACTTCTTTGTTATAAATTGTCACCAAGGGCGGACCAAGGGGCGACCCCTAGGGTCACTTGACCCTATATATATATATATAATTTTTTTTTTGTCTTAGTTTTCGGGTTCACTATGAAAATATCAAACAAAATTGAAATATTACATTCTTAATATTATTTTAAAGTGTTCATGACCTAGTATTTTACGTCGTTAATGTTGTGCGAAATGACTAATTGTAGCAAATGTTACGAAGCATCAAAATAGGGCATTCTAAACTAATATTTCGAGAATTTTGATAACAAGCTAACTTTAAATTTTTTTCGACGATTATACGCTGGTCATATCCATAAATCTTCTACATCCTCTCGAAGCTCATTCCGAGAACTATATTATAAACATATCGAATGATCTAAATGAATATCGAAAATAGTTAAACGTACGTCAAACGTGTATGCTAAAAATAGACGTATAACTCATCTTTTTTGAAAAAAAAAAATCAATTGTTTTATTAATGTTTATTATTTTTGCACGACAGATTTTTCAATATAATTTACATCATTTTATTAGGAAGTTTTATATGTGGTATGACGTCAAATTTTTTTTTTTTTTTTGGATGTAAAAATTCTTAATAAAATTTTT